CCCGTACGGATGGGATTATTCTGGTGAGAACTCGTACTTTTTATCTATAATTTCGGTCATTTATTCAAATGCCATTGTTCAATTATTTTTCCTTTTATTATAGGTTCCTCGAATTTGGAGGAGCTCCACTGGTTATTAGAGCGTACCATATTGGTTCGACGCCTGAAGGCCGATGTAGAGCTAGAATTACCTCCTAAAACACGTCAAATTGTTCACGTTGGTAAGATATCAAATGAGACTATTAATTGATACTTTTGTTACTTATATTATTAAATATTATTATTAGATATTTCGGCTACTGCTAAAAGGGAAATCCGAAAATTGAAGAAGGAGTCTGAAGAACTTTATGGAATTGCACAAAAATCAAACGGGCAAATGAAAAAGGATGCTGAAATGAAAGGGAAAGCATTGCTGGTGCAAATGGTAAGGACTTTAAAATTATGTGAAAGTTTAAAAAGGGTTAAAATTATGTGAAAGTTTAAAAAGGTTTAATTTATCATAATAAATATAATTTTGTTAAGTGGGCCGAGACTGGTCGTTCAAAAGTTCCTGCGATTCAGGAGTATTTATCTGAGATATATGAAAATTCAGAAAAGAAATTTATTGTGTTTGGACATCATTTGGAGGTTCTTGACGCTATTACTGATTATTTTTCAGCCAAACTTAATGTAGGTTGTTTTTTTTGTTTTTTTTTTTCGTTGCATTTTTCAAGTATTAACATCATGACACTTTTATATTGCCGTTGCAATTTGTTTTTAGGCTAAATTTATTCGTATTGATGGCGGTACTAATCAGCAACATCGTCAAGCTTTATGTGATCAATTTCAAGAAGACAAAAAAACGCGGATAGCTGTTCTTTCCCTTACGGCGGCTAGTACTGGTTTAACACTTCATGCGGCCGATTTGGGTATGCACTTATTATATCTCTTGTATATCTTGTTATTTATTAGTACATATTAGTACATTTGACGTTCGTCCTTTTTTTTTATAGTTATATTTGCAGAATTATTTTGGAATCCGTCCACTTTATTGCAAGTAGGTGTATATTTATGAATATTCTTTCAACTTTTTATATATCGCAATCCTCATATTAATTATAATATTATTGCACAGGCCGAAGATCGCGCACATGTTTGTGATCTATTCAGTCATTTAACATATAATGAGTAACTTGAAAATATGTTAGAAAATTAATGTTCATATAAATCGTATAGAGAATTGGACGTCGAGGTAGCGTTGATATCAAGTATATGCTTGTTAAAGATACTTCAGGTTAAAACAACAATTATGTTTTTTCACGGGTTATCAGTCTCTTAATCAAATTTTAAAGGAAATATACTATCTTTTTCGTATTGCAGATACTATTCAATGGCATTTGAATAAATGACCGAAATTATAGATAAAAAGTACGAGTTCTCACCAGAATAATCCCATCCGTACGGG